ATAAAAATTCCAGAGTATATGTAGCTTTATTGCCTCTACAAAATGGCCAGAAAAAATAAGCATCGAGGGAGAGAGGTAAGTCCCCCCTTAAACCGAATTCTGTTTCGACTAACAGAATACAAACTTTGAATAGACATGCTAAAATTGTATATCTTCTAGAGGAAAGAACGTTGTTTTTGATAACACAGAATTCTACAAAATTTTAAGCAGAATTTAAACAGACCAGAACGGATCACGTCATCTTTGATAATACAGAATTCTACAGAATTCTAAGCAGAATTCAAACAGACGAGAACGGAATATGTTGTCTTGGGTGACACATAATTCTCAGAATTCTATGCGGAATTTAAACAGAACAGAAAGGAATATGTTTTCTTTGATGGCACAGAATTGTACAGAATTTTACAAAATTCTAGGTAGAATATAAACAGATCAGAGAAGAATAGTATAATCAACTCGTTTTAAAAAAATATAAGTCCACAGAATTCTGAATTCTGCTTGGTAGACATTCTGCGATTGCTGTTAGACAAAATGATCTCCTCGACGATTTGAACTAGGCAACCGACAGCATTTTTCGACATGGAAAGTTAGTGGTTGAATATTGTATTTTTGTTACAAAAATCTGAACACTTACGACGTGGCATTCTACTTCGAACTGTTGTTTATCTTTCTGCAGAATTTCATGAAAATCTCTGACAATATTGAATCTATAAACCACATACGATAACCGGCTACCCAGTAGATCATGATGGATGTGCAAGAAATGGAGCTAGAGAATCACCGAAGGTAGGTAGTTAACATTTATTTATAGAAATTTTTTTCAGATGGTTTGATTTTAGAGTACCCTTCGGACGAGTATCTTGCTATCTACTCGGTCTCATGTGCCTTGCTGGAGCATGCGTCGTGACAATACTCATCGCCGTGCCTATCTCTTTGGCTAGTAAAAGCGCTACTATTACTACTACCGCCACCACTGGAACTACAACAACAACGCCCACCGCCAAAACCACTACCGCGACTACCGGAACAACGCCCACGACAACCACCACCACTACTACAATCGCCAATGCCACAACAAGCACTACGACAACCACGGCAACCACCACAATCACTACCACGACTACTACGACAAACGCCACGATCACTAGCACCACTACTACGACAACCGCCGCAATCACTAGCACGACTACTACAACAACCGCCACAATCAGCACCACTACTACTACGACAACCGACACAATCACTACCACCACTACTACAACAACCGCCACCATCACTACCACGACCACTACAACAACCGCCACACTCACTACCACTACTACTACGATAACCGCCACGATCACTAGCACGACTACGACAACAACCGCCACAATCACTACTACAACTACTACGACAACCGCAACGATCACTAGCACCACTACTACAACAACCGCCACGATCACTAGCACGACTACTACAACAACCGCCACCATCACTACCACGACCACTACAACAACCGGCACAATCACTACCACTACTACTACGACAACCGACACAATCACTACCACCACTACTAC